GTGATCTTTCAGAAGTGGATAGCCAGACCTAGAATATGTTGCTGTTTACCACCGAGTCAATTCTGTCTCATGGTGACCCCATATGTGCAGAATAGAACTGTACTCCATAGGGTTTTCAATGGCTGAGTTTTCAGAAGTAGATTGTTGGCTATTCTTCTGAGGTGTTTCTGGTGGACTTGAATCTCCAACCTTTCAGCTAGTAGCCAAGCAAGTTAATCGTCTGCAACCCGCAGGGACTCCTAACTGAGGCCCACAGCTTCTTAACTGATAAGGATTATAAGTCATAATAGATTCACAACTGATCAGCGATGGTGCAGTACGAGGCAACATACATGTTGTTGTGTCTAGGAATGCTGTGAGTTGGACTGTGAACCCAAAATTACATGAAATTAAATTGGATCTTTTGTTACAAATGAAAAAAAAAAAAGAATTATAAATCATCCTGAAGCTGCATTTAAAACATTCTTTGTGCCCCACCCTTGTGTACACACACACACACACACACACACACACACACACACACACACACCTCTTTTGTTCTTTACCTGTCTAGGCTTACCTCTTTGGTTACCAAAGAAGAGAACAGAAGAAACTTCACCCCTTTCATAGGCTCCCCGTCACTTCGGACAGAACCAGACACGTTATAGCCAGCAACTATGAGCGGACTGGCAACATGGGCATTGGAGTTGGTTACACGCACACTGGTGCTAGCCTACAACAACAACAAAAAAAGCTTCACGTTCCAAAAAAGCCATTTGCAAAGTGTCTAACAACTGAGGACATGCTTAAACTAAAATATAAATGGTTAGAAAGAAAGAACATATAAAACTGCATACACAATATGCATTCAACTATCTTTTTTAATGCACACAATGAAGAGGAAAGAAATAGGGCAAAAGAAAAATTAGCAACGATTCCCTCTACATGGGGAAATTTTGTTTTTACACGTCTCCACCTCGCCTAACTTTGTTTCCAGTCCTCTACACTCATCTGGGTGGTCAGATTTTAAAATGAGCATACTTGATGATTATTTTTCCCATTTCATGACAATGCGGTGGCTGTTAGGTACTGTCGAGTCAGCTCTGCCTCATGGCGACCCTGTGCACCACAGAACGGAGCGCTGCTCGGCCTTGCACTATCCTCACAAGGGCTGTATCGGAGCCCACTGCTGCTGTGACAGTTCATCTCATTCAGGGGCTTCCTCTTTTTCTGACAGATAGGCTTATCTATTTATATTTTTGTGAAAGCATAATTTACATACAGAAAAGTACAGGTGTCCAAAGTGTAAAATGTAGTATTCTTAACAAATTGAACATGCATGTAACCAGCACCAGAAAACACAACAGCAATGGCATTCCAGAGGTACAACGGAAACTACTACCCTGACTTCTAACAGCATGATTTACTTTTATAATAAGAAACTCAAGTTCATTTTTATGTATATAATTAACATACACTGTACTTCTGACAATTTAGTCTAATGATAATGTGCAATGAAGCTGAAAAAGTTTAAGATGCTCTCCCATAAAAGAAAAATTCTGAAAACCAGCAGTCATAAACATTATACTGATGCAACCATCAATTATAAATATGGAATACCTAGAGCAGAAACTGAAAGGCTGATTCTGAGTCTCCTTAACAAACAGGAAACGGAGTCTCAAAACTAATATAAAAGAGAACTTGGTGGAATGTGCTCTGTTGTTGTTAAGAGGCGTCAAGTTGGTACCAACTCATAGAGACATTGTACAGTGTTTCCAAGGAGCGGCTGGTGGGTCTGAACCACCAACTTATGGCTCACAGTTCAATGCTGATCCTACAGTGCCACGCCACTTTTCAATAGCTAACTGCCTTTCCAGCTATCACCAAACTTTATCTAGTATGTTTTTTTCCTTTATCCATCATGTGCTTCATACTACAATGTGCACCCTCTAGCCAGCTGAAAAAATTAGGGAGCAGAGATACAATTCCTGGTGCTGGTACAGATCCACACATTCCCTTGCTCTCTCTCCCTGTTACAGACATATCATCAGCACACGGTGTCTGCCATCCCGTGCCTGGCTTTACCATTTTCCTGTATCTAGACTGCTATTGTTACATGCCGTCAAGTTGGTTCCAACTCAGTGACCCTGTACAGGTTTTCCAAAACAGTAAATCTTTGAAAGAGCAAAAAGTTTCACCTTTCTCCTGTGGAATCACTGATGGACTTGAACCGCCAACCTTCTACATCTGAATGCATCCATAGGTAGTATTATCGTGACACTTTTAATCATTTTACTATCCTATTTTCTATTTACTATCCTTCAGCAATTTGCCTTTTTCTTTCTGCTTTAACTTTATAAATGTCCTCTGACTGGTATCTGTAGTTCTGGTTCTCATTATTGCTGCTACTGTCAATAACTTCATTAACAGTATCCTATTTCCTCTTCCTCCAGCAACTTGCCTTGGTCTTGCAGCTTTAGAGTTTTAAATGGTGTTATATTGATATATGTAATTCTGGTTCATTCATTATTGCTGACACACAGAATCCGACTGTGTAACAAAACCACAATTCCATTCTCTTCTTAATGGACACTAAGATTATTGACAGTATTTTGCTATTGCAAACAAAGCTACCATGACCATCCCTACACATTCTCCTCAGGCACATGGGCAAGAGTTTCTAGAAGAATTAATACAGTTACAGAATTCTACTTCAAAGAAAAGAACAAATCAATCTCATTAGGTTCTTTTTGTGTTGACTTAGCTTGAAATACCAACAGCTAAAAACAGACCTAGTTTGCAATAGCAAGACAACATCATGTACAAACTGAAACAAACATAAGCAACATCTGCCACTCTGAGGGAGTTTACCTTATGTTGTTGCTGTTAGGTTCTGTCAATTCATAGGGCCTATGGACAACAAAATGAAACACTGCCTGGCCCCGTGCCATCGTCACAGTTATTGCTACTTGCTGTTGCCACTGTGCCAATCCATCTCGTTAGGGGCCTTCCTCTTTTTCGCTGACCCTACAACTTTACCAAGCATAGTGTCCTTCTCCAGAGATTGGACCCTCCTGATAATATGTCCAAAGTATAAGAGAAAAGTTTCACCATCTTGGTCTCTAAGGAGCATTCTGGCTGTACTTCTTCTAAAACAGATTAGTTTGCTCTTCTGCAGTCCATGGTACTTTCAATATTCTTCTCTAACACCAAAACTCAAAAACATCAAGTCTTCTACAGCAGGGGTGGGGAACCTTTTATCTGCCAAAATTTATAACATCATTTGCGGGCCATACAAAATTGATCTTTAAGTTGATACTTAAAAATTAGCCTGTTCTATTTGGTCAAAGAAACTCTGGTAGCATAATGGTTACGAATTGGGCTGAGAACCTTAAGGTCAGCAGTTCGAAACTACCAGCTGTTCTGCGGGAGAAAGATGAGCCTTTCTGCTCCTGTAAAGATTTACAGCTTCAGAAACCCTGTAACAGGGTCGCTATGGGTCGGAACCGACTCCACGGCACATAACAACAACATATTTGGTCAAGGAGTCCTGGTGTGGCGCTGCGGGTTAATGCACTGCACTACAAGGTCAGTATGAACCGCAAGGTTGGTAATTCAAGCTCACCAGCTGCTCCCTGGAAACCCTATACAAGGTTGCTATGCATTGGAACTGACTCAACAGCACCTAACAACAACATATTTGGTCTAACATTTAATTAACTCATCCCTAATGTAATGGCTGGAACTGCAGTTGTCTTGGCAGAGCCAGACCAAACGATTTCGACGGTCTTATATGGCCCAAGGGCTGGATGTTCCCTGCCCCTATTCTACAGTTTTCCTTATTCACTGTCCAACTTTCACATACATATGAGGCTATTGAAAATACCCTGGCCTGCGTCAGGTACACCTTAGTCCTTAAGTAGGTATCTTTGCTCTTAAACACTTTAAAGAGGTCTTGTGTTACAGATTTGCCCACTACAACACATCCCTTGATTTCCTGACTACTGCCTCCATGAGTACTGACTGCATGGAGTGGTGGTGGCTGTGCCGTGGAATTGGTCCCAATTCACAGTGACCCTGCATAGAGTTTCCGAAGCTGCAAATCTTTACAGGAGCAGAAGGTCTCATCTTCCTCCCACAGAGTGGCTGGTAGAGTCAAACTGCTGGCCATGTGGTTAGGACCCAAGCAAAATTAAATCTTTGATAATTTCAAGCTTTTCTACCATTATCATGTTATTTATTGGTCCAGTGGTGAGGATTTCTGTTTTCTTTACATTGAGGTGCAACCCATACTGAAGGCTGTGGTCTTTACCTTGTAAAAACTACCACATTCATCAGTGTCAGCTCCATCTATTTCCAGGAACACCACACACTCATTTCAGAGTCTAAATTGAAGTCTCCAAAGTGGTACATGGACTGGCTTAGACAGAACAGGAACACTCACCTCTTTCAATGCCCATGTTGGATGAGTTGCGAGGATTTCATAATCTCCAGGAAGAACTTTAAAAAATGCAAACCTAAGAAATACAAGAGACCACTCAGTTTTCTCTGCAACAACCCAAGCATTAATACTGATAGCACAAGAAGATATTGAGAATATCACAAACTTGCCACGAGTTGGTAAACTCTGAATGAAGGGACTCCCACCCATTGAGCACACACTGTGTGCAAGAACATGTAGTATTCTTTGCATGACCAGGAAGGAGGGTTTATTTTTCCCTTCACCTGGAGGACTTAGTCACTGCAGTTTAGCAGGAAAGGTCACAGAACATCCAAGCAGGCTTTGACACAAGTGCCAGATGCGACAAAGAAACAAGTGGGAAGGCAGAGCACTATGTTAAGAAGAGAGCACATCAGGTGGGCTAATGCTCAACACGATGCTGTTGATACGGGGAAGGCAAATCACAAGCTCTGAACCCTGTGCAAAAGAGTGCAGATCTGTGATCACAAGCAAATGTCAGTCACTCGGGGTTCTTTTGCAAATCAGCTGTGATGACACCAGCAGCTGAAGAAGATTCGCTGCTACAAGCAAAACAAGACCAGAGAGAGATGAGTCAAGGGCCGGCAATGTTCCCAGAGCCAGGATTCTAACATTTAACCCTTCAAACCTATTACCGTCACACTGATTCCAACTCAGAGTGCTCCACAAGGTTTCTAACTTCATAATTTTTAGGGAAGCCAATTATTACAGTTTTCTCCCATGTAGCAGCTGGTAGTTTCGAACTGCCAAACTTTCAGTTAGCAGCCAAATGATTAGTCACTGAGCCAATCTGCAAAGCATCTGACAATTAGAAAGCTAATTCTAATGAAATAAATTTCAAAGATAAATTTTTTTTCTTCTGAGGTGGTATTTTATCATGTGCTACCTGTAGGTCAGCAGTTCGAAACTACCAGTCGCTCCGCAGGAGAAAGATGAGGTTTTGTGTTCCCGTAAAGATTTACAGCCTCGGAAACCCTGTACAGGGTCACTATGGGTAGGAACAGACTCGATGACACTTAACAACAACAACCTGTAATAACTAGTGCTTGGACAGTCACTTTGCTACAACAAAATTGAATCACCACAGGATTTGGTCTTTGTAAGATTCATCATCTACGTCATTTGTACAGTAGCCCAGGTCTGTAAGTCACATCATCACTTTTAGTTGGTGCAAATGGAAAAGATTCAGACAGTTCAAGCCATTTGAGCAAAGTCGATAGCAAACTTCTGAGAGATAATGAAAACTTCACCTTCCTTTGCAGATGAGAAATATTAAGTTTTATTATTGTTAAGTGCAAAGTTTTTAAGTTGTTGATCTAGTACAGGTAATCCCTCACTTACAACAGAGTTCCATTTCGGTAACTCCATCGTAAGTTCTAACATAAGATGAATACCTCATTTTTTTGGTTTCTATTATTATCACTATGTTTAGAAATTAAAACATTGAGCATCTGCAAGTGAATATCTAAGAATGATCACACCAGCAAATTATGCGCTGCAACACTGTATGTGGTATATATTACTAATGACAAGATGCACACAAAAAAGACAGTCACAATTGCTGTTCATCATAACTCAAATATAGTGTTAGTTGGGGAGGGAACTACATGTACAAATCAATGCTACTTCAAAACAAAAATTAAAAATAGTAATAATTGATGACTTACTGACAAACTTATTATAAACATCTATTTTTCAGTTTGGTGAGTTTTGTATGTTAGTAATGATTTGTTCTCAAAATTACAAGTTTAAACTACTCTGGTATAAACCTTAACGTAGATGTAACCATTTGCATCCATTAAATAAATGTTTTAAATTTGACTCTACAAAATTAACTAAACACTTATCATAGTTATGACTACAAAACAGTTTGATGCAGAAAAACCCACTACCAGGGAACTGACTCTAACTCACAGGACCCTTCTAGGACAGACCTGCTCCCTCGGGTTTCTGAGGCTGTAAATCTTTACAGGAGCAGACAGCCTCATCTCTCTCCCTCTGCGCAGCTGGTATGAGTGAGCACTGCTGACCTTGCAGTCAGCAGCCCAGCACTTAATGCACTATGCCACCACCACCAAAACACCTTTTGATGCAACAGTAGTAAAATAAGAGCCCTAGTGATACAATGGACTAAGCATTGTGCTGCTAATGGAAAAGTCAACAGTTCGAATCTACCAGCCAGTCTGTAAGAGAAGGATGAAGCGGTCTGTTTCTGCACAGACTTCCAGCCTAGGAAACCTCATGGATCAGCTCTTCTTTGTCCTATAGCTTTGCTCTGAGTCAGAACTGACCCAATAGCAGTGGGCAGTGATAAAATGATTTTTAAATACATAACTGAACTAACCTATTTTGAGTTCACATTTATTAAGCATTGTCGTTGTTAAGTGCCATGGAGTCTGACTGCTGACCTTGCGGTTCACAGCCCAATTTGTAACCACTACGCCACCAGAGCTCCTTTCATGAACGTTTATTAAGCATTACTCCATGCCAAAAACCAAAACCCACTACCACAGAGTCAATTCCAACTCATCGCAACCATGTATAGGGTTTTTGAGTCTGTCAATCTTAATAAATCCACATCATTCAGCCACACTATCAGCCTTGTGGTTATCAGTCCAGAGCTTATCCTACAGTGCCACCATGCCAGGTAGCTTCAAACAATGATAGCAAAGTATTAATTCATTAACTCTTCCCAGTAACATTAAATGAGGTAAATTCCAGCATTTTCATTTACAAACGAGGAAACTAAGGACAGAGGGGTTAAGTCGCTTGGCTGGCCTAGATCAAACAGGTAGCAAATGGGGCAGCCACAACTGAAACCCAGGCTGATGGGCTCCAGAGCCAGTCCCACCCACCAAGCGAAGGCTGGCCTCCTGTCAGGTCTCCCAGTAGGTGCTTGATGGGCAGTTCCTCACTTAATCATCCCATCAATAGTAGGTAGTGGTGGTGGTTATGTGCCGTGGAGGCGGTTCCAACTCATAGTGACCCTGCACAGGGTTTCCGAAGCTGCAAATCTTTACCGGAGCACAAAGCCTCATCTTTTTCCTGTGGAACAGCTGGTAGCTTCGAATTGCCGACCTTGAGGTTAGCAGCCCGATTCATAACCACTATACTACCAGAGCTCCTTCACTAGGGGCCAAATAACTCCATTTTATTTGAGATTCTGAGGGGCCTGAACTTGTGCCAAAAGGCCAAATCAGGATTTGAATCCAGGGCTCCATAAATCCAAAGCTCTGCACTCTCCACCCCACTCCAGAGGCATGCCCTAGGGCGTGGCTTCACTCACTTGCCACCTGGCTGTGTGACCGTTGACTGGACCTTCCCTTCCATGCCTGTGTTTCGGAGAGAGACCTGCACCCCGGCAGGCCCCAGGGGCTGCCCCTTGCTGAGAACCTGCAATGGAGAAGAAGGTCAGGGGCAGGCCTGGCAGCATGGCTCCACTTCCCACTGCACTGCCCACCCCACGCATACTCTTCAGGGTGGAGTCTGCAACCTTCTGAGGACCAAGGACCTTCTTGAAAAAACAATCAAAGCCATGGACACCTTCCCGAGGGGGGAACATAGTAATACAAAATAATACTCGGTTCCAGTAACTCTAGGATACCATCAGTTAAGGATATACCCCTGGCTTACACACTCCTAGAAAAAATACCCAGGCTGGAGATGCTAATAAAGAAACCCAGACACCAAACTGGAGTGCCAATGGGCCACAATCTCAGGAAGGAATACAGCTACTAGGAAGAAAAAGGCTGCCGGGAAATCTGTGCATATTAACCCTGGAGCTCGGTGAAGGGAGGGAAAACACAAACAAAATCAAAAGCTGCTCAAGCAGCCTGCTGTCATGACCCCACAACCAGGGCTGACTACCAATGCCATCGGTGATAAAATGTGCTCAAGACATCTGAGAAGGGAAGTACAACAACAACAAAAAAGTGCTGTCGAGCTGGGTTTCCGAGGAGCTGCTGGTATTTTTCATTAGCTAACCATGAGGTAAGCAGTCCAATGCTTATCCTTCAGAGCCATAGCAGGACTCCAATCAAAACAATAGGATACGCCATAATAATCATGCCAACAACAGCAGCTTTATTAAGTTTACTGTGAATATGATGGAGTCTTGGCACTGTTTACCTCATGGCTGGCAGTTCAAACCCACCAGCCACTCCTCAGAAACTCTAAACAGGGTTGTTGTGAATCACACCCAGCTCTATGGCACTTAACAATGAATATGATGCTAAATACACTGCACACAGGATTCCACTGAATTCTTGTCAAAGTTCTATGAGGAACTGAGGCAGGGAAGTTAAAGAGAGTTGTTGGCAAAGTCACACAGCTAGCAAGAGACAGAGCAGGGCTCCACTCTGGTGGGTTGGCTCCAGAGTTGGCGTCCTCACCACTCATCTATCCAAGAGGGAAGTCTTCCCCAGCTCTGCCCACATCCCACCCTTTGATCACAGGGGAAGAGCCGTCCGCCACACATGCTGGGGCACGTCTTCCTTCAATTCCACACCACCCACCAAGACCACTCTAGCAGCCTATTTCAAGGTGGGGAAGCAGGGCTGAGAGAATGACTGGTCACCTACACGTGGACTCCTTAAAACACCCAATACATTGCACACAATTCTGTAGAGTTCCCAGACCCTTTTAAAGCGGATCAGTGAATCCCTTGTAGGATCCAAACCTCCAGGTGAAAAAGTGCCTTGTTCCAGGTAAGAGAGACAGTGCATGCTACAGAGCACGTTAGAAATCCCCAAGCTCCAAAGCCACACCTTGCCATTCACAGAGAATCCCGTGAACACAAAGTTGATGTCCCCTCCCTTTGTACAGATGTCAGTGACGCCATCCACATAGAGTTCCACGTTCGTTGGCTCTGGAGAATAAACGGGGGGTACAAGACACAAGAGTAACATTAGCTCTAGGAAACAGTGACCCTAGAGTAACACACTTCATTGTCAATGTTTTGAACATTTAATACACTCGCATGGTTCATAGTTCACTCCCACAGTATGAAGAATCTGGGTGGGGCATCTCCCTCCCACCCCTACGCCCCAACTCTAAACAGAGCCAGCGCTACCTGTATTCGGTACTTTTTAGTCTTTCGGCTGACCTGTAGCCCAAAGGACCACTGGAAATTCAGCAAGCCCCAAGGAGTTTGACTGAATGAGTGCTCACCATGAGCCACTTACTGTGCTAAGTGCATCTACCTACCCCTCACAGCAGCCTTAAGACGTAGGTAGTCAGAGCTGCAATTTAATGAGAGCTAAACTGGAAATGAGGCACAGGAAAGCTAAAGGACTTCCCATGGCCACAGAGTTAGTAATAGCATTTTAATTCAACTCCACAATGTCTGGCTCCAGACCTGTGCCGACCAAGGACATCAGTTCAAGCATTAAAACTGGGGCAACACAGCTCCACAGCCCAGCAGCCCCAAGAGGGTATCAACAGGCAGCACAGTCCAATACTGTGTGTTTCCACTGAACGAAAGTTCAAACCAGAGACAAGGAACCTAACATGTTAGAGGTCAGGCTGATAGTTACCTGTGGGGTAGGGCAGCATGGTCACTGGGTGACTGCGAGTGGGGCACTTCTCAGGTGCTGGCCAAGTTCTAGTCTATGATCTGGGTGACAGTGATGTGGGTGGGCACACTTTGTGAAAAGTCATCATTCTCGACTTGATGAGCACACTTTCCATACTTCTCTCTCGGGCTGCTCGTTTGTTGCTGATGTTTTGTTTTCCCACTCATAGTGAGTTTGTGTGACAGAGTAGAACTGCCCCATGAGTTTCCTAGGTTGGCATCGCTCCATGAGCAGCCAGCCAGGTATTTCCTCCCTCAGAGCAGCCGGTGGAGGCAAACAGCTGACCTACTGGTGAGTAGTCAAGCACTTAATCTTTGTACCCCCTGGGCCCGCTTTAACCATTGTTATTACTGTAGTTGTTGTGTGCCATTCTAATGACCCTGTGGGACAGAGGAGAACTGCCCCATAGGGTCTTCTAGGTGGAAATATTTATGGGAGAAGGGAGCCAGATCTTTTCTCCCACAGATCAGCCAATGGAGTCAAACCGATGACCTTTTGCTTTGCCACGGAGCACTTCACCTTTGCATCACACTAACAACAAACAAAACTGCCATGGAGTCAATTCTGACACTCAGCATAGGGTTTCCAGGGCTGTCAATGTGGATGGGAGCAGAAAGCCTCACCTTTCTTCTGTAGGGTAGCTGATGGGTTTGAACTGCCATCCTAGTGGTGAGCAGTCCAGTGCTTATGGTTAAGTGCCGTGGAGTCAGTTCCGACTCATACGGATCCTGTGTTCTGAGGATCAGCTGGTGGGTTTGAACTTCTGGCCTTGTGGTTAGCAGTCCAGTGCTAATCCTACAGTGCCACAACAGGACTCTCCAGTGCTTACTGCTGTTGTTAAGTGTTGTCAAGTCAGTTCTGACTTGTAGCAACCCTGTATGGCGTTTCTAAGGCATTAAATCTTCATGGGAGCAGAAACCATCATCTTTCTTCTGCCCAGTGCGTATTTGTTGGGTTTAACTCCCCTCCAGCTCTTTGGAATACACCACCAAGGCACCCTGCTGACTAAGAAGTGTAAACAGAAGCTCTCTCACAGGGTCAAGTCAGCACTCGGCCACCTGAGCTTCACTTTACTGCTTTGTGGCAGCTGGCAGCCAACTCTTCCATGTCAAGCTCATGAACAGGCCAAACATGAACAACCATGGCTCCCTCATCCCCTGTTCTCCCCACTCTACCAAAACATCAACAACAGTATCTCTCTCCTCTTCACACACTTCAGTCAGGCCAAACGGGAACCCTCTCATCCCATCTCGAAGGAACACAGTGGTTAAGCCTCAGCTGTGGTTGGAACCCAGGTGCCACTCCATGGTAGAGAAATGCGGCAGTAAGATTCACAGCCTTAGAAACCCTGTGAGACAGTTCTACTCCGTCCTTTAGGGTCGCTGTGCGTCAGAATCGACTCGACAACAGTAGGATTTTGGTGTGTCTTCTGATCTCAACCCCATTCCCACCTCTCCAACTAATCTCCATGAGGGAAAGTCGGACCCTTTGCCTGTATGTGTGCAAAAGGGCTGCGCTGAAGTATTATTATGGGACCCCTCCAACTACCCTGGGAGGCTGGTGCTCTCACACTCCTGAGGAAATAAGAGGTCGACATGGGGAAGGAACTTGTCCAAGGTTGTCACACGGGGACGGCACACCGGTGCCAGATCTTCCGTGTCCTAAGAGAAGCCTTTCATGTCAAAGCTCCTCATTTTTAATGTCATGAGTCATTCGTTTCACAAAAATAAAGAAACTGGAGGCAGCTAAGAAAGCAGCAGCCCTGAGTCAGGAGCAAAGTTGTCTCCCTCCCTGCTTCCCTCCTGAGCGTCTGTCACTTACTGACACTTCAGAAGCACAAGGTCCTGACAGCGCCATAAGCAAGATGCCTATTTTAAGAAAGATGACAGGAAGACTTCAGGTAGCCTTCAGATAAATCCAAACTATTCTAAACTGACAAGAAAAACAAACAAGCCCATTCCCTCATTAGAAGGGAATCCTTAACAGTCCATTCACTCTGCCAATTGAAATTAGTATTCAGCATATAAGTAATCTCTTACAGAGTCTATCTGATTATTAATTCAGTCAGTTTGTTAACTTACCAAAACTCCACCCCATGGGAGGCTCAATCTTCAGAATGAAATCTCCCTGGGGGGGGAGGGGGAGAGAAAATTCAATGTGAAGGAATGAAAATGGGTGACACTTCAACTCGTTTCAGTTTGTGTAAAACTTCTCCACGACAAAGGGAATTCCAAGAGGCGCTCTGTTCCTGTAAACGACAGAGTGCCCTGATTCCCTTTGGTTGTGGCAAACTGAAGGGAAACCAGTCAGCAGATACTGCGCTGAAGTCCCCATGTCAGTTGTTGTTGTTAAGTGCCATCAAGTAGATTCTGACCCACAGTGACCATGTATAGGATTTCCGAGGAGTGGCTGGTGAACTTGAACTGCCAACTTTACAGTTCAAGCCAACACATGTCAGTAAAGAGACTTTATTCAACCACTCATCTTTTGATGCCAAACATACCGTTCTTTGAGCTTCTGTTTACCCCTCACATGCTCTGGTAGCGTAACGGGCTGGTAATATCTAGGTCAGCAGTTCGAAATTACCAGCAGTTCCACAGGAGAAAGATGAAGCTTTTTGCTTCCGTAACGATTTACAGCCTTGGAAGCCCTATGCAGGGTTGTTATGAGTTGGAACTGACTCCATGGCATACCACCACCACCGCCACCTACATTTGCAAGAATTAGCATGAACCTTTAGGAATTACTTAACACTAGGCATTTAACTCCACCATCTCTTCATCAACCCTGACTTCTTTAAATTAATATTTATAGTTTTTTGCTTTTTAATACAGCAAGTTCACCTCTATAAATAAATCCTATGCATTGCACATAAAGGTAGAAGTTCAAGAATGTTCACTGTTCTGCTGCCAATCCTTTTTTAAATCTGAAAAAACCTACTGTACATTACTAAAGAAGTGTTTAAATAAATTACTGTTTTGATCTGACTCTGAAATGCCACACAGCCACTAGAAAGAAGAAATAAACCTTCATGTGCTGATGTGGAAAGCATGTTAAAATATTACCACTGGGTGGCGGAATCAATCTGCAGGATGATTCTTATTTGTGTAACAAAATCAAAAGCAAAACGATGTATATTGACGACTATCACAACTTCCTGTGACTTTAATTATTTCAAAATCACAAGTTTTTTTAACGTGCTCTGTACATAGGAATGTAAGGAGGTGTATGAGTGAGGATGAGCACAGACACACATCGTATGCACAAACATTTCTGTGTTGCACACATGTGTGTGCATGGGTATGTGCAGATGTCTGCCTAACTATAAACACAGAGCAAGCAGTTACAATGCAAACCAAAACCTTTCCCAAAGATTCTCTCTCTTGTTGTTGTTATAAGTGCCATAGAGTCGGTTCCAACTCATAACAACACTGTATCTGGTTTCCGAGGAGCAGCTGATGAGTTTGAACTGCCAACCTTGTGGTCCAGTGCATTATCTGGACCCAAAAGGGGAGCCCTTTGCTCATGCAGGGAAGGCTGATCTCCCACTTCCCATCATAAAAGGAGCCATACAGGCTGACTGGCCTGCCCCCGCCTCTTACCTTATCATACAAGGGGATCATAAAGTAACCGTTGTTTGGGGCGCAGTCTGTCTGGTATTTCAAAGTCCCATGCTTAGTGTACAACTTTATCTGGAAGGAAAGAAAGAATAAAAGTCATTCTACCAACACTAAGAGTTACCTACATATGTCAAGTCTGAATTCAATCTGTCGACGTGCACTTGCTGAGGACGTGTCATATGCTGGCTATTAACATTAGGCTGTAGGGACAGAAAGAAAAATGACCAAGTGTCCTTAAAACAGTATGAGGCCATGACTTTCAGATGAGACCCCATCTAAAGCCTACGCCCAAAGTTCTTATTTGTCAGTACTTCTCAGTTCATTTTAGCGGCGATCTCTGTGCTTGCTCACAGAAACTTCTGGGTCTACACAGAATATTTTCCATTTGTTGTGAGAAAAGTGCTTGTGAAAATGCAGACGCCTGGGCCTCACCTCAGTACTCAACTAGAAGATCGGGGTGGAGGGCCAGGAATTTGCATTCATAACTCTATATGATCCCAAATGCTTACAGTAGCACTCCTCGTCTAAAACCTGCTGACAAGTTAATGCTGACTCAGCGTAACCCAATAGGACATAGAAGTGTCCACAGAGTTTCCAAGGCTGCCAATCTCTACAGTAGCAGACAGCTTCACCTTTCTCCCACAGAGCAGCTGGTGGGTTTGAACTGCCGACCTTAAGGGTAACAGACCAATGCTCATGGCTTCTTAGCATTTATCTGTTGCTGTGCCATCGAGTCATCCCGACTCATAGTGACCTCATATATGGTTCCCAAGGAGCAGCTGGTGGGTTTGAATTGCCAACCTTGAGGTTTGTAGTCCAATGATTATCCAATCACACCAGGACTCCACTTTTCATTTTCTACTTGACTTTCATTTCCAGGACAAAAACATACCAGAAAGACACCTACTATGCATCTCATCCTCAGTAAGTCCCTAAGATGCTTACCAGACGAGAAGTGCTAACCCACCAAGACGCCCACATCTGTGCTGTCCAGTTCTTCACAGACCCACTGGGTGACCCTGGGTGAATCCCTTCACCTCCTATGGTCCTCTTGCTTCATCTGCACAAAGAAAGCCAACCTCCCTTCACTGGGGCTGTGCAGTCACAGTAATGCTTAAGATACACCCCATCCTGAGTAGGGGCTCAACCAAAAAGTCATCTGAATGACTACTTTAAACATCTCTCAGAAGAAAAAGGCCACATGGGATAATGAGCAAGACAGAATGAATTCAAGGAATGCTTCAAAAATCTACCTGCATGGCATAACCACTCTTGAGTTTCTGCATCCGAAAGCAAGAGTGGTTGGATCTAATGACCTCTAAGGCCCTCACCTCTGAAATGAAAATGCTCTGTGACCGTGAAATAGAAATGACAGATAGTCAGGGGTTCTCAGAGTCCCTGTCTGACCAGCTCGGCAGACACAGAAAGCCACAAACTCCCAATATGCACTCCTGAGAAAGGAAAAGTCTGAAATTGTGCATGGACTGGAAGCCTCCTATGGGCAATGACCACAGTTTACTCTCCCGTGAACATACATGGGGCAGTGTCTCGTTTACTAGGTACTAAATAAATATCTGATGCATTTGCTTCAATTCCAATGCATGCATTTAAAGGAGGGACTAGAATGTACCTGTCTCCACCATAGTCCCTACATGGTGCAAATGGTTAACATGCTTGGATGCACACCTAAGAAAGGTTGGAAATTCAAATCTACCCAGGTGTGCCCCAGAAGAAAGATCTGGTAATCTACAGCTGAAAAAGTAGTAACTGAAAAGCCTCGGTTCTATTGTAACACACATGGGGTCCTCAAGAGTCACAATCAACTCAACAACAACTTGTACAGGGACTAGGTAAGTAATATCAAAGGGCATTAATTTAAAGGGAAGATGGATCACTACTTAAGCCTAGTCACATTTTACCTCCCAAAGAGCCCTTGTGTTTTCAAGAAGCCAGAAAAATCCATTTAAAAAAAAAAAAAAAATGTGAACTCTCCACACTGATAAATTAGTGGCAACTGAGAAAATTTCTTTTTAGCAATACGAGCCATTGTCAGAGAGTAGAATGTTAGTGCCATGTGGGCAGGGATTATCGTCTATTCTGTTCTCCACACCTAGGGCAAGGCCAGGCAAATGCATGGTCCTAATCATGTGTGGCGCTGTGGGCTAATGCGTCAGACTGCAAAGTTGTTTGAACTGCAAGGTCAGTGGTTCAAGCTCACCAGCTGCTCCTCATAAACCTATATAGGGTCACTATGGGTCAGAACTGACTCCATGGCAATTCACAACAACAAATCATGGTTGTGGACTAAATGAAAACCATGTGACGTCATCGAGCTGGGAAGAAGGCTGGAGAAGAGTGAAGGTGTATTTGGACACAAAAAAATGCAATCGAGAAATGACTGTGATTCACTGAGAATCAATATAGAAAAGAAGTTGCACATTATATCTTCCTTACAACATATAGAAAAATATATGTTGTATTCCAGATGGATTCCACATGAACATTAAGATGACGAAAATTTCAAGAGAAAGGTTGTGAAATATCCTGACTATTTATCTTTCATACAGTACAGATCAAGACACAGGATCACAATTAAGATGGACATGGAGATTATAGAGCTGAAATGTCCAATTTCATCATCAGAAATTATGAAAGGAGGATTGTCTACACCCAAGAGGTTCAAGGGACATACTTCATGCTGGTCACAAAACTACACCCTCTTCTTGAGGGTGAAGGATAGCAGCTGTCCAGCCTCGCCTTTCTCCCAAAGTCCCCGGAAACTACAAGTTGTAAAGGCAGCTTCTGAAGTGCCCTGCACTCACATACCAAGAGCAAACCCAGTGGGTGGTGGAGGCTCCTACAAGCTCCTGCCAGCAGAACCTAGGAGCCCCACCATTGCCAGTGGGAGGTGTCATTAGACATCCGACACATCTTAGGAGAAAAAAAAGGATAGAGGAGCAGCAGACCAGAGGCCTCAAAGATCATCCTGATTCTCTTTAGGAAACATTGGGTGCTGGCTTCTGCTGCTTCCCGCCCAACATCCCCCTCATCACCCATATCTGAACACTGGGCTCAGAGCAAGGCTAGGTCAAAATGATAGTGGGGTACAGGGTCTAGTTCCTAAACCTTATCCCCACTGCTCAGCAAACGCTTTGCAGAAAAAGGCTCCTACACTCACTGCTCAGCTGTTGGAATGTTTTCAGATCACTCTTGGGGCTGTTCTGCTCCAGCGCCCCTTCTCTTCAGGACCTCCCAGTCTCTTCATTTTCTACCCAAACACCTCCCTAGTACCTGTTCTTTGCCACTTCCTCTTCTCTCAGGACCCCAGAAGAGACGCACCCCTGCAACAGGTCCCTTCCCATCCACCCCAACCCCCATTAGTCCCTCTTTCTCCCCACAAAAGCACCAACTAAACAGGACTTTACAGGGCACACAGCCCCACGGGGTCCACCCAACCAGCACCCAATCAGGCAGTCCGCGCAGTTGCCAAGCCTTCATTTGCAGAAGAAACAGAGGCTCAAGATGAAGGGATGGAAGGGGCGACATGTTGAAAACACAGGTTTGCAGCCCTAGGAATTCCAACACTAATGTGCTAGGTCAGGATCGCTACCACGAGAATCCGTGTCCTTTAAAAGTACCCCAGAGTGGGGAATTCTGGGAAGAGGCCTGTTCTAGAATGAGCTGTCAGCTCATCTCCAGGTCCGAGGACACCGGCTCGGCGAACTCTGCCTTTCAGAGGGACTGGGCTCTGCGTCCTGCGGAGACTGGGCTGTAGGAGGTCTGGGGTCTGGATCTGGGGGAGTCTCCATCTTGCAAGGTCTGGGGAAAGTCCTGGGCCACCATCAGCGTCACCGAACATGCCCCTCACACCCTGGGCACACATGATAAGAAGTACCGCTCTGGGAGAGGTAAGGAGCCCGCGGGACGCAGAACTTTGGGAAAAGAAAGAGAATCCGAGAACGGGCTGGCGGAAACTGCGGCCCAGAGAGACTGAGCGACTGGCCCGGGGTCACACAGCGCGCGGGCCGGCCGCTCACCTCGATGAGCGAGTAGTTGATCTCCACGTCCGACTTGACGAAACCCCCGCAGCCCACCACGATATCCTCGGAGCCGAGCGCCGGTCCCACGACGCTCAGCAGCACCAGCAGCAGCACGACGGCGACCATCACGGGCCCCACGTTCCAGCACGCCCGCATGGCCCGGCCTCCGGCGCCCGACACTCCGCAGGCCGCGCGGTCCCGCCCCTCACAGCGCTAGCCGCTGGCTCCTTCTTCCTCTTCGGGCGGCTGACAGCACAGGGCCCGCCCCCGCCGCTGCGCATGCGCGCTCCCACCCACAGCCACACTGCCAGGAAAGAGTACCACGATGCGAGCTCAGGGACAGGACTAGACCACGTTCGCCCTCTGCAGGCACGGAGGACTCTGCACAACGTGCATGCACACAGGTGCAAAATCTGAAAGCCGAACGTTTGGGTTCAATTCGAAACTACCAGCTGTTTCTCAGGAGAAAGATGAGACTTTCTGATCCCCTAAACATTTACATCTGCTGCACAAGACCTTTTTAAAGTCCTGAAGAACAAAGATGTCAGCTTGAAACTTAGGTGCACCTGACCCAAGCCATGTTGTTGTTGTTGTTGTTAAGTGCCATCGAGTCGGGTCCGACCCATAGCGACCCTGTACAGGGTTTCCGAGGGTGTAAATCTTTACGGGAGTAGAAAGCCTCATCTTTCTCCCGCGGAGCGGCTGGTAGTTTCGAACCGCTGACCTTAAGGTTCGCAGACCCAAGCCATGGTATTTTCAATAACCTCATATGCATGAGAAAGCTGGACAGTGAATAAGGAAGACCATAGAAGAATTGATGTTGGAGGAGAATATTGAAAGTGCCATGGGCTGCCAAAAGAACCAACAGATCTGTGTTGGAAGAAGTGCAGCCTGAGTGGTCCTTGGAGGCCAGGATGACCAAACTTTGTCTCTCATATTTTGGACATATTGACAGTCACTGGAGAGGGATATCATGTTTGGTAAGGTGGAGGGTCAGAGAAAAAGAGGAAGACCCCTAGAGAGATGGATTGGCAAAGTGGCAGCATCAATGGGCTCAAGCATGGCAACAGTTGTGAAGTTGGCCCAGGATTGGGCAGTGTTTCGTTCTGTTGTGCATAGGGTCGCTATGAGTCAGTACGGACTCGATGGCACCTAACAACAACAACAAACATTTATAGCCTCGGAAACTACGGTTATACCACAGTTACCATTAGTCAGTCCCGACTCCACAGCACATAACCACCACCACCACCGCCAACACCAACTATCAGAGCAGGGAAAGTAAAGAAACCCTGGTGGCGAGGTGTATAAGCGCTGAGCTGCTAACCAAAAGATTGGCGATCTGAACCCACCAGCCACTCTACGGCAGAAAGCTATGGCAACCTGCTTTCCAAAAGACTTACAGTCTGGAAACCGGTGGGACAGTTCTTCTCTGTTCTATACAGCCACCATGAGTTGGAAACGACTTGATGACAATGGTTTTTTTTAAAAAGGAAAAAAAAAAAAAAAAAAGCACCTCTTTTTACTATCTTGAGCATGAATCTCTGGTTTGTTTTAGCAAACTACTAGGGCATTGCATGAAGAAATGCTAGCCTAAGGAAACGTATTGACTTACAGAATGGAAAACTGAGGCCCAGAGAGGAAAAGGACTTGTCTAGTGCTGTGAACATTCAACTACTATTCACAGTTGAAAATAGGAATGGGGATTTTTGCATCCAGTTCTTGGCTTAGCCCAATTTATTTTTTGTGTTCTGAATTCTTGAACAAAAAGCTGTTGAAGTCAATTTGTTCCCTACTCAAAACAACCTTGTAGGACAGAGAAGAACAGCCCCATAGGGCTAGAAATCTTTACAGGAGATGACTGCTCATTTTTCTCCTGCAGAGCAGCGGTTAGGTTCAAACCCTTTCAGTTAGCAGCCACATGCCACACCAAGGCTCCTGTTGTTACTGTTAAGTGTCATCGAGTCGGTTCCGACCCATAGCAACCCTGTATAAGTTTCCAAGGAGCAGCTGGTGAGCTTTAACCACCGACCTTGCTGTTCAAACAAATTTTGCAATCCAGTGCATTAACCCACAGCACCATATCAGGACTGCAAGGCTCCCGTGTGGAGTTCTAAAAAAAAAAAAAAAAACACAAAAGCACTTCCATTGAGTCGATTCCTACTCATTGCTACCCTGTAAAGGATTTCCAAGGCTTTTGGGAGCAGAAAACCTTATCTTTCTCCCACATAGGATTTGAATTACAATTAGCAGTTCAGTGCTTATCCTACAGAGCTTATCCTACAAACCTACAGGGATGCAATTCTTCACTAGAGCTGACGGAACTTGGGTTTGTCTGTCTGAAAGAGCTGACATTTTCATTACTTTTATTTTTTTAATGCACATTCAGGGAAGAAAGAAAGTAAAAAGAAGGGAATCAGGAAGTTGTTGTTAGCTATGATTAAGGCTTCAGTACATTTCCATCTTTCCATCTCTGCATTTTTATTTCATCAAGCCATTTTCCTAAAAGAAGTAATGTGTCACAGTTTACTTTAAAACTCAGGGGAGGAAGGTAAAAGATATTACTTCCTTCTCTTCCATCATTTAGGCGCCTACTGTTTGTTTATTTTCAAAAATGCTATCACAGCCTATTCGATATTATAATCTCTTTTTTCAGTTTGTATTTAAACACCATCTTTTCATATCAATATACTTCTACAACAGCATTATAACCACTACTGAGTGAAATAATAAAAATTATAATAATTTTGTTGTTACACGTCATTGGGTCTATTTCCTGCCATAGCGACCCTGTGTAGGCTTTCCAAGAGGCAGCTGGTGGGTTTGCATAAACAACTTTGCAGATAGTTGTTGTTGTTGTTGTTAAGTGCCATCGAGTCGGTTCCGACCCATAGCGACCCTGTACAGGGTTTCCGAGGGTGTAAATCTTTACGGGAGTAGAAA